CATAGAAGAGGGAAAGGGTCAAAGGTTGAACGTACTGCAGTTTCCCCCCTGGTGTCACATCAGTTTTTGTAACACAATAGCACAAGAATCATCCAGACAGACGGGAAAAGATGTGGCTATATACACATAAAGCTTTCTATGTAGAACTGTATAGGGAGACGAGCGCCTCCAACTACTTTAACAAATACATAGAATTTCATTTGTATGTTTATAACGTCAGCTTTGTAACTCTCGTTCTAGTTCATATCGATTAATATTTAAAAAACAAAGAAGGAGAAAAAAACAAGTGCATTGATCACAGGGAATGTGGACCAAACATTCATTTAAAAAAAAAAAAAAAATGTCTCCACTAGAAATCAATCGTGGTTGGCTCCCCCGCTGACATGCATTGAGTGAGTGTGTGTGTGTTGCTTTGTCTACATGTATATGAGAGGGGAGGTGCTGCAAGAAGAATAGCAGGTTAGCTTTAGTTTGAGTAGGACAGCAACCATGTGTGTATCAACCATGCACAACTGTTTATACACACACACACACGCAGACACCACAACACAGAAGTCACCGACAGCATCTGATCTGAACTTGTAGACACATGAAGGGTTTTATTCTGAATGCAGTAACGTGCAACGTGTATACTATCGCTTCATGTGCTTTATCATCATCATGCCTAAGATGTTTTTTCAAAATAAAAGCTTTTAACACACTCCACATGTAGCCATAACATCAGAGAGAGGACGCTGAGAAAGTGTGTGTGTCGGTCCAGGTGTGTATAACGACTTTGAACACAGGTTGTCTTCAAATTAACACTTAAAAACAAACATGCCTAATAATATCTGTGGATCGACAGTCTGATCACCACTGAGGCTAATCTGTAATTGAATATGTTTCGCAAAATAATCCAAAAGAAGGGTTAAATGTCATCTAATGTTGTGTAAGAAGACTTTAATGGGGCCATTTTGGATGCTACTAGACCCTTTTAACCCCCTACACACACACAGCTCGCCACACAGCTGTTGATTGGATCGTTACTTAGATAGGACTGAGTTTTATGGCCACTTTATCTCAAATAATAGTTCGCTGGAGCCCAAATTTGCATTTTATATTGACAGTGGACATTTGTCTGGGATGGTGAAAGCATTTCATGATGTTGCAGTGAAAATTTGAATAACCCAAATGCAACCAAAACAGTACCGTATTGTCAATTCAGCGTTTTTTCTTATCCGACAAATAGTCCGTGTGAAGCTTCCTTCTGGAGTTTCTTTGTGTGTATGTGAGTTTGAGACGTGAACACGAGGATTATATTGTATGAGTGTTAACTACGACCCTGAATGTGGGACTCTTTTGTGTCATGGAGAGAGACAGAGGTTTGACATGCAGTGTGGGATGTGGTGGTTTTATGTCATGTTCCAAATATGTGAATTGCTTTGGGCGCTACGAAGATACCAAGATTTTGAACACAGATTCGTTCACAGACATCACATTATTCCCAGGACAGACCCGGCCAACTTCCACCTGACGAGAGGCCTAATCAAGACAAGATAATTGAAAACAGATCCTGTGGGGCTGATGGGAGTTTTTACTCAGCGGAGCAGCTGTGGAGGACGCTTGTGCTTCATGTGTGAGTTCTGCACTGAGGAAGAGTTGTGGGGATGTCCCACTCTGTATGGAGGCTTTCTGTAGTGTTGGTGTGTGTGTGTGTGTACGGTGAATCAAAATGAACAGTATTTCAGTCTGAATGTACCCAGAGATCTAAAGCACGGGGCCAGTCATGTTTGTTTCACACTGAGAGACAAAGCAAAGACTTTTCAGATCATGACACACTGGGCCTGACCGCATGCAGAGATTAATGTCACCAGTGTTGCCCTGTATATTAAGTTAGTCCACACAGGAGGGATAAATAAGCCGTTGTCCCTGGTGACACGGCCTGCACTCTGTCATTGTCCTGTCCTCCTTTTGCTCTGAGAGGCGGAAGACACACACTGCCCTCTGCTGTCAAACACACAACATGCACACACACTCCCCCTCTGTGCTAATATTAGTGCACATTAAAGATGCAGAAGGTGGTGGGAGTCAGGCGGCATCTCCGTTCATTCAACCACCGGAGAAAGGCTTTCAGCTGAGGGAGGATATATCTAACGCACCTCACAGGGTCAGATGAGGATCAACAATAACAAGGGGGGGGTTTATTTACTTAAGTGGGTTTGTTATGTACTCCGAGTCGCTCAGTAGGATGTTTATTTGAAGAAGGTGCTTTTCCTTTCTCTAGTTTCTGTACGGTAGATGTCTTCTGAATACATCCGTTTTTGGTGTGTGTGTGTGTGTGTGTGTACGGGACGTTTCCATCTTTAAGCGGGACATGTTGGCATTTTGAAACACTTCTGATCTGTAACAGTCCACGGTTTGGACTGTAATGAATGCATGCATACTGTACTGAACCACATATCACCACTACAGATCTGTCAGACCCATTTCTTAGGAAAAACATCAGCTTGGAGGAATCCTGTGTGTTTGAAGTTGTACAGCTCGCCAAAGACTCCTACTGTTTTAACACCTAGTGTGAGTTGAGTTCAGTATAACAAGGACCCGCCTAGAACAGAGGCAAGAGGTGTGTGAGAGTGGGAGGAAGAGAGGCAAAAAGAAACAGGAGACAGGATGATAGAGAGCAGTCTTGATTTAAAAAAGTAAAACACAAAATTACTGAAACTTAATCACATAGAAAGTATTTGAAGAAACAGGAGACGCTGTGATGGCGGTAAAGAAACAAGTGGAGTAAATATGAAGCGATCAGGGCTAGTCTGATTTAAGGGGCAGGTGCCGAAGCCCTCCCGTTAAAAGGAGGAGTTTAGGGGTCTGTAGCGGTGGGACTGAAGCCTGTTAGCTAAGGTCAGAGAGAGAGAGAGAGAGAGAGAGAGAGAGAGAGAGACCAGGGGAGAGGCTGGAGGCCAAAGGGGGCTCAGATCTGGGTGTTCAGGTCTCTGGACAAAAACAGAGCTGAATGGGGGACACCTCTCTAATCGGACTTGTCTCCATCTTCCTCGCGGTGGCTGTCCACGCCCTCGCGGGACGCTTTCTCCTCCTTGGCCATCTGGGCTTGGGAGGCCAGCAGGGAGGAGAGGGAGAAGAGGCCGGAGGAGGTGGTGACGGCGGGGAGGCTCGGCTGGCTGAGGCCCAGCGGCAGGGGGGTCATGGGCAGGGCGAGACCCTGGAGCTGAGACAGCTGGTGAGCCTGGAGCTGCTGCTACATGGAACACAAACACACTCAACTTAGGCACAGCAGCAGNCCACACACACACACACACACACACACACACACACACACACACACACACACACACACACACACACACACACACACACACACACACACACACACACACACACACACCCACAGCAAAGCATTGAGGAGAGAAATCAGCAATGCACAGGCCCTATTATACATCGCAAATGATGTTTAATATATAACCCCCGAGGCACGCGGCTAATAGCTCAGGCACAAAAGGATGGATGGAGGGAACATATCATAGCTACAATACATGCTGGGTAGGAGATGGAAAGTCTGCAGCACACATAACTTATTTATAACACACGCAATTTCTCAATCTATATCGCCCCGAGAAAACAAGCAAGAGAGGAGAACACTGTGCACAACAGAGGTGTTTGTAACATACAAATACATGGAAGAAATACCATGGGACACACGCCTGATTTTAACGTACAGAATTAGACACAAGCATTTGACGTCAGGACAGTGGACAATCCTGACTGACCACTCCTACAACAGCTCTGCCTTACATTCAGAACCAGAGCTAACAATGTCCTAGTCGGATATTAATGGCCGTGAAGAAAGGCATATGAAGATGGTTCCCTGTGCTAAGAAGAGCGTGTAGCCTTAAAAGCAGGCCTGTATCCTCTGTATTTAAAGCAGGAGACACAAAGACAAGGCGCCTCTTTGAATCATGAATCACCGTGATGGAGTGGCCATGCTAGCTAGCACCAGACGCATAGTCAAAATGATGGAGTGGCTCGGATAGCTAATACTAAAGCTCGGGTAAAATGACGGAGTAGCTAAGCTAGCATCTACAAGGCTTGTATTGATAAAGTGTAGCCGGCTAACGTTAGAGCCACAGAGATGAAGGATGACGGCGAGCAGCTAATGCCTCCAACATCATTCTGTTTTTTAGCTACTAGGGACGTACGCGTTCAAAGCTTCATTAATAACAACTTTTAGTTTTAATGCACGGCTATTCATTTTGTTTAAAGATGGTACTTCTTAACAGTTATGGATAGATTAGGCCTAACTAATATTATAAGTGTTAAATATTTGTAGGATTCTAGCAGTGGATGCAACACAACATGTTTGTATCTAATAATATACACTGTTACAATCCATATGGTTTAGGAAGAAGCAGATTGCACACACCTGTATTAATAGGGTGCACCAGCAGCAATATTAAAACACACCAAAAACAATATTTAGACAACCAAATATGTGTTTATGTTGATGACACTGAAGAGTTTTATTCATCAAAAGACATTTTATGTTAAAAAAATCTTAGCTAATTAAAATATCTTAGGTGTTTTTTTAACTTAATTAAGACAGACATTTAAAGCATAAGAAATCTCAGTTAAAGCTTTTTGTTTGTATAATGGGTACAGCCGTAAAAGCTAGCTTATATAACTATATGATACAAATGTGCCCATGCAGTGAAGGGTAGAGGGTATCATCCCATTTACACTCAATTAATGGTAAAAGCTCAAATTTCTAATTATAGACATTCAATTATTCACAAACTATAAGCCAATAAAGGAGAGGCATTAAAATAAACAGTAGAATTGGTGATAACGATCAATACATGTGACTTCATAAGACCATGAAGCGGGGCAGGGGGGGGAGGAGGAAGAACATCATACCCTTATGATGGAGTTCATCTCTGGGGGGGTGACCTGCTTGGCCCTCTCTATGGCTGCCAGGACCT